CACAGTGTGTCCTACTAGCGAGAGTCCACCCAACTTTCGCTCCTGAAGTCGCTGAGGGCATGGCTTTTAAGCCCTCGGTTACAGACAAGGTCCACGGCGCAGACCTGCTAGCTGGGTATGCCAAGGTGTCCATCGATACAGTAAAGGACACCTGGTCAGGCTATCCGCTGCCCGTGCCCCCAAATGATGAAATCATGACTTTGGGCGATGCGCGCAAGACGTTCATACAATGGCCTAAAGAAGACATAGTTGTGAAGATGACTCCTCGTCCAAGTCGACCGACGGAGCTTACACCTCCCAAGTCTAAGCTATCAATTGAGGCTCCCCGTGGACCGGCATTGTCAGTACCTCATTCTCCCGGTGGAGCTGATATGGACTTGGCAGATATAGCTCAAAGCTTGGCTCCAATAAAGACCACAAGAAAGGCCGATAGCTCCCCACCACTTGTCAAGGGCCAGAAGCGTGAACGAGGCAAGGGGAAGGTCGGGGAGTTGGCGCCGGAGCCAAAAAGGGGCAAGGCTGCGACGTCGATGCCGGTGAGCAAATCGGGGAAGGTCGTGAGGGCGCCAGCCCAATTTGAGCTAGGCATGCCATTGGTGGAGGACAATGTGTTAGCTGTGATGGGTATTGCTTGCCGAGAGCTACATAAGCAATACATGGAGCTAAGCAATGCCAAGCGGAAAATGAGGGAGTCATCCATAGTTGGACATCACGACCACCAGCCGTTCCTATCGTCGCCTGCCTATATAACTATAGGCTTTGATGACCTCTTCGACCTTTTCAGGATCCGGAAGTTGGACACTGGTCTTCTAAAATGCTACTCCTTGTAAGTGCATACCTTCTATACTTGTGATATGACTGGACTATATCTCCTAATTAAATTAGTTCTAATACGTAAATATTTTAAGGTTGTGTTGGATCGAGAGTCGTCGCCATGGTAATCAGGTTGGGTTCCTTGATCCATCCATGGTGAATGAGGTTAATTTACAACAGAGCTTCACTGAGGTGGTTGACTATGTCAACCGGTGTTTATGGGCCCATCAAGACAAGGAGTACATCATGTGCGCACACAACCAAGAGTAAGAGGACAATACCCTTCGTGTATATTGTTTTTGAAGTTAAGGTTCTTAGTACTAACGCTACATAACCACTGCGCAGGCGACATTGGATTCTCCTAGTCATCGTACCTAAGTGGAGTAGGGTTACCTACCTTAACTCCAATAAGTCCAAAGATTATGATTTCAGTGAAATCACCAAGGCCTTAAATATGGCTTGGGGCCCATATGTGGAAAAGGGTGGTAGGCACAAGGAGGGCAAGAATGAACTTTATCATGACACCAAGTTTGCATGCGCACAACAGATCGGAGACCAATGTGGTTTCCACGTGTGCCACAACATGTCAACACTTCTAAGAGAGGTGAAAGATTTCGACCCTGAGGTTGTTGCTAATGGCGAATAAGCTCATTTCAATATCTACATTGCTATTCAAAACGTGCTAATTAACCTCTTATTTATTAAACAGAAAGGTAGAGCTGGCTTCAAGATCTCACCCATCAACCCCCCCGCTATCAGAGGCGAATTGTGCGCCTTTATTCTTGCAGAAATAATGAACAAGAAAGGACGTTTTCATGCCAAATAGACTCATGAACTTGGCTAGATAATTTATTGTGATGTAAAAAAGATGTTTTTATAATTTCTGGCGATGTAAAAAATTATGTTTTTATAGAGTGCAATGTAATTTACTTTCATATGTGCAATATTTATGGTACTTTACTAAATTGTCATCACATTTGATCAACTACGATTTATGTTGTACTATTCATCTGTTTTCTCCTTATTTTTTCCCTTATCGACAGGTTGTGGAGGTTCACAACGAACAGAATACAAGAAATTTCGGTAATCATTTGAGGACTTTCATGGGGTATGAATTGTGTGCTATAATAAATTAAATTGTGCCATATGTGATGTTGTAAATTGTTGCTTTGCGATGGATCTGTGATATGTGATGCATCTGTGATGTTGGGCAGTTGGGGAATATGTGATATGGAGGGGGGTGACTGGCACCTGTGATGTTTCTGTTTTTCAGAGGGCATGGCTAGCAATTCCTGAGGCTAGCCAATATTTAGCATTTATTTTTTTTCTGGAATTAACTCATCAGTGACGGTTCGGAAGAAACATCCGTCACAGGTAACCTCACCTGTGACGGACTCGCAAACGTCGGACCGTCACAGGTGACCCACCTGTGACGGGCTTTTACTTTCGGGCCCGTCACAGGTGGGTCACCCTGTGACGGCTACTATATACCGGAGATCATCACCTCTGACGGGCCTTTATTTAGGGGCTCGTCAGAGATGAGACACCTGTGACGGGTCCTAACAAGCCCTAGTCTAGCTTAGACCAACACCTCTTGACGGCCTTCTATTAACTTGCCCGTCCGAGGTGGATGTCACCACTGACGGCCGGCCACCCGTCAAAGGTGACTGGACTTACCAGTGACCACTGATCACTGACCAAGCCCAAAACCGTCAAAGGTGACGGTTTGGGCCCGTCACAGGTGACCTTGACCAGTGTAGTGCTTTTTACATACGTGATCCTAGCGATTTATAAAGCAAAGGCTGAAAAATAAACTTCGATGAAAAAAATCACAAAATCAACCCCAAATTTAAAGTTGAAAATTCAAATTTTGGCTGATAAGCATAAACGAAAAGATGGAGCTAGTTGTGCGCTTGGTTACAAGGGCAGATCTACTCATTAGGAAGGGTGGGTCGACCGACCCAGCTACGACCCATGTCGCCCCACACCACAAGACCCCCTACCCCTTTATAGTAGTTATGGGCTATCAAAATTATGTATAACAATGTGTGAATGTCAAATAGATTAGTTCGTCTCGCACGCACGCCACAAACAATGATTAAGACAGTTATGCGATTAAATTATAAATATGATATGTGTTATATTTGATTGCTCTTATCGAGTAAACATCTCTGTTCTCCGCTCATCTATATATTTTAAAGCTACGTCCGCCACTTTTGGTTATGACCTTTTCCTTAGCCTATAGTCTTATTTAGCGTCGGAATAAAAAAAGATACTGGTAATGTGATAGTAAAGTCGTAGACGCATAACTTCACTCATCAAGGTTGAAACCTTGGTGCCTGTGAATTATGTAAATGACTTTCAAAAAAAAATTAATGAGATCAGGGATATATCATCGGTTTCTGTCTCTTAAAGCATGGGTTAAAAGAGCATATTCGTAAGGGTATGAGTCCCTTTCGCTGTAGCTCGTCATGCGCAACGCCATGACACATATGTAGTGGTTTGTGTGCGTAAGCGTTTGCTGTGTAATGGAGAAAAGAGGCTAAAAAATATTATGTTAAGTTGAAGGGGCAAATAATGTTAGTTTTTTATTTTAAAATTTGCTAAATCTAAATCTAAAGTAAATTTATTGAAAAATTTGAAGACACGGGGGAAACAAGTCTCGCATCCCCGTGTCTCCATCCTGATCTTATTATCTATTTTCTTTGTTCTAAAATAAAATATTTTAGATGGGATATAACGTACAAAACTATATTGGGTTATATCCTATTTTATTCTAAGTTGTTTTATTTTCAGACGAAGGGAGGTAGAGAGTATAAATTCAGGATTTCAGCAAAGCATACGCTGCTACTTTCTCTATCCCATAATATAAAAAACGAGATCAAAGTTAACACGATCTACGAAACTAATTCTTATCTTATAATTTCTCATATACTGTAATAAGATTTGTAATAACAAAATTATAAACATATGAATGTATATTTAAATGTCAATATAATGATATAATTTTTAACAAATAAAATTAATTTTATATTATATTAAGTGTTGGACAAATGATTTAAATGTTAAAATGGAGGAAGTATAATCAAGACGGTGACTAGCTAATAATAATCAAATGTTTTAGTGGTTCCATCGGGGGCAGGGTGAGCACTGAGCAGTGGCCGGCCAGCAGCGAACTCAGTTCTCACGCACTGACGTGCATGCATCCACCGATAATTCGTTCGGGACGACGCGGCGATGACCACAAGGCCGGATCGATCGATCCGACCGGTCGATCTAGCTAATCTCCTGAATACCGATGCCACATTGCCACGTCCGCGCTCGCCGCTGACGCCCACCGTGACGATATACACCGGCCGTGCCGCCCAACCGCTGCAGGTGTGATCACGCGCCGCCCACGGCAATCCTCGTTACTTCCTGGCCGTCCGATGACGTCCGGGCGCGCAGCCCAAGCCGTCCGATCCTCGCCACGGCGCCCCGCGTCTATACATATACGGAGTAGGGACCTGGCACCTAACGCGTGCCTCATTTATCAATTTTATCATGCCCATAAGTCCATGACACGCGAGGGACCTCATCGCCCCAACTAATCCGCTTTGATTTCAGCGTGTGTTTCGATCGATATATAAATCCTAAGAAAAAAATAATTGTCGATTAAACAAGCGCCACCTGTGCGATGTCAACGCTGTATTAGCGGTCGCGCTCCGTGTCCTCCTCGCGTCCTAATCCACACGTGTTCATCACGCACTGTACTTACTGCCTAATCTAATCCCTTTGCCCTTGTAGACATCGTGTATATATAATCCATATTGTTTATTCATCAGCTTGATCACACATACATTTGCTGATGTGGATGTGTTCGATGCTACTCCCTCCGTTTCACAATATAAGTCAAGCATTTTCCAGATTCATATTGATATTAATAAATCTAGACTAATTTATTAATATCAATATAAATGTGAAAAATACTTGACTTACATTGTGAAACGGATGAGGGAGTACTTAAGTTTTTTCTAAAAAGTGTGGTCAAGGCTCTAAAGTGTTCTAACAAAGTCCATTAATTAATTAAAACAAAACGGAGACGACGAGTACTAGTGTACAAGATCATGCGAGTGTGTCTTGTCGAGCTCGTGCATCACATGTGGCTCGTAAACGCGCCACTTGCCGGTATATATATTGGAGCGCTAGCACGCTGCACCCTGAGAGCAAACACCAACCGGAAGGTGAGGTTAGGTAGCAGCGAAAGGACAGCCTCACTGATCCATTAGTTAGCTAGTGTTTGGTGTTGGTGAGGATATGGCTTTGGATGCCAGGGCCATGCTGCTGCCGGCGGCGGCGGAGGTGGCGACCGTCGATGTCGTCGGCGACGGCGAGGAGAGGCCGTGGTCCGGGAACGGCGGCAATGGCGGCGGCGGCGGTGGTGACTCATCATCGGCGATGGTGGGCGCGGTGTCGGTGGACTTGCCGACGATGTGGGGCGACGAGAGGAGGATGAAGCGGGAGCTGGTCGCCTGGGCGAAGGCCGTGGCGTCCATGGCCATCAGGGAGTCATGTAACTCCAGATGAACCGTACCTACCTAATTCCTGAGCCCTTTCTCTTTCACAGAGCGAGACAGATATCGATATGTTTTTCTTCTTTTTTTTTTCTTTTTGGAAGCAGCTCGTATGAGTCTGCTTCTTGATCGATTGATCAATCAGCTTGTACATGCCCCCTTTTTTTTCTCCTCGAAAGGATTAAGAGAATTTAATCTGATAGTAGTACTAGATACACAGATGAAATTTTCCGGCAAAGGATGTCTGAATTTGTCAGATTTTTACATCGCATCCTTTTCGAGAGAGAAGATTTTGAGATCGTTCAACGCTCTGCACTCCTGCGGCGTTGCATAAAGATTATACTGCGTTGGCACTCCATTCTTCTGTGGTTGCAGGCTTTCACGTTTCACCCTGTTTTCTACCCAGCCATTGGAGCATGTCTGCATGTGTTCTTGTATATGGTGATCAAAGTCTGGAAGGCGGATTTGAGTAGCGCTTAAGAAATAGAGATCACATGTCAATGATCGATTAACTCTTAATAATCTTGTGTGGCATGTCCGATCAAGAGAATTGCTTGGCATACTGTAAAAGTCCAAGCTGACCACATGAACACAATAGGTGGCCCCCTCATCTCAGACTGACTGATAGTAACAGAGTTGCGTTATTTTTGTGTAAACTGCGCTACCTGAAATCCTCGCATAAAGCAGTAACGGAAAAAGTCCGTATACAAAAAAGACATATGCGTCACTCGTTGAAAATTACCTAGCCCTCAACTTTAAAAACAGACATCCAACCATCTAAACTTTATATAATATCATTCATATATATCTAAAGGTAGTTTTTTTTTGGGCTCCCTGTCGTCCTCGCGCGGGCGACCGGGGGTGAACCCTAGCCCCCGGCCGCCGCCACACCCCTCCTCTCCCCGGCCTCGCCGCCGTCGGAGCGCGTCGCCGGAAAACGTGCGGCCGCTGGGATGGCGGCGGCGAGGCTCCAACCCAGGCGGCGTGACCGCCTCGGCGTGAAGGGGCGGCTCGGAGCTTCGGGAAGGCCGCAGGGGCGGCGGCAGCGCGGCGAGGAGCGGCGGATCCGGCGCCGCCACCACCGGATCCGGCGCCCAGCATCGGCCACGAGGCGAGTGGCGGCTGGATCCGGTGTCTCCGCTGCCGGATCTGAGCCGTGGTGGTGCGGGAGCACGGCGGATGCGGCGACGCCGATGGCGCGACGGCCGTGGCTGGTCGGCGGTGGTGCGGAAGCGTCGCGTCGACGGGGAGACGCGGCATCGCCGGCAAGCGCTACGGCTGGGGGCGCGGGCGGCCGCAGCAGGCGCAGTGGCGCGACGGCTGTGGCTGGCCGGCGGGCGGCTGTGGCCGGCAGCGCGACACGACGGCCGTGGCTGGCTGGCGATGGCGAGGCCGCCACGGCGGAGATAGTGCCGGCGAGCTGGCGGCTGGTGGCGGGGTTGAGCTGGGCGGCAGTGGTTCTGGTGGTGGTGGTGACGGCATCATGGTGGTTCAAGGCGGCGGGGATGGCGATGGTGGCGGGGATGGCGTCGGCCGAGGGCGCGAAGGCGGCGGTATTGGTCCCTGCGCGGCGATGGCGCGGTGCTCAGCGGCGACGGCGGCGGTGCCCCCAGATCCGCGCCTCTCGGCTGGATTTGGAGGGTAGCCGGCTGTGGTGGTCAGAGACGTCGGCCGACTTGCGACGGCTGGCGACGGCAGTTGGCGACGACGGCGCTGTGGCCGCGGCAGTTGGCAGCGACGGCGTCGGCCGACGACGCCGGCGAAGGACTTGGCGGCGGCATGGCGAAGGGCGACAACGAAGCGGCCGCTGGCAGTGGCGGCGGCTCGCGGAGGCGGTGGCTGGTGGCCGCGACAGTGGTCACAGGAGGCATGGTGGCCCTGGACGGCTAGCCGAGGGCGTGGGAGACGGCTGCATTTGGCCGACGCGGCATGTTCTGGTGGAAGGGTCGGAGACCGGTTTGGCGCAGAGAGGCGCAGCCGATGGCAGCGGAGGCCGGCTCGGCGCGAGAGGCGCGGGCGGCGGAGTTGGAGGCCGGCTTGGCGTGAGAGGCGCAGCCGATGGAGGGAGGCCGGATTGGCGCGAGAGGCGCGTCCGGTGGAGGAGGCCGGCTTGGAGGAGGCGACCTAGGTGTGAGGAGGAGCTGCTGGTGGGTGTGGCGCGATCTTCGGCGCACAAAGGCTGGCCAGCGGGGGACGCCATTGCAGGGGTCCCACATGTCGGCAGAGCTTGTGTGGTGGTGGAGCATCGGTGTGTCAGCCGTGGGTCTCACCCTTCAAGGGCGATTGCCGGGCGTAAGCCCAGTCTTGGCTCCTTTGAGTCCCGACGGATGGCGGTGGCGGTTTTTCCGTCGCTTCTCTTCTTGAAGACGTCGTTTTGGCATCTCCTAGGGAGCGATCTCAGCTGTGTCCCTTTGTTGGTCTAGTGGCAGCTGGTCACGCTTAGCGGCGGCCGGTCCGGTGCTAGCCTTCTCCTGAGCTTGTGTGTTGGCGATGTTGGTGTGTGGGTGGTGGATTTTTTTTCTTTTTCCTGGTTACGACCCTCCAGGGTTATAATATTGTAATTTTTTCCTGCTCTATCAATATAATTTTGCACCGTCTCGTGCGAGTCGTTCAAAAAAAAATAAAGGTAGTTTTTAAAAAAAAAAATCTAATTTACAGATGTATTGGATGAGTTTGACCATGTGACATATGCATGGATAAATATGTTAAAATCATTACTTAAATCTTTTGTTTTTTTATCTACTTGTTCTATCTTCCATACAAATAAGTATCAATATAATATTAGTATAAAATTATTATATAAATTGAGAACTTATGATTGATATATTAATATATTATATCAGTTATTTAAAACTAACCGTTTAAGTTTCTCAATTCATAAAACCACAATCCAAAATTACTTTAGACGGTAATATAAAGGGTCTTATAAAGTTTAGGAGGCTAGATATCCGATAATTTAAAATCCAGAGCATAAGATAGACTCACATACAATGTTTATGTGGTATACGCCTATATGGACTTTTTCCAAGCTGTAACGGGTGGCAAATTTGCCACCCAAGCCGCAATTCTCTAAAATATATTCCCTATAAAAAAATATTTTTCATTTCATAGTAGCCACCAATATCTGGAATGCTGGATGATACTCAAATGAACTCTGCTGTTGTCTATTGTATCAGAGCAAATTCATCAGCTCTAACAAGAAAGAAACAATAAGCTATTAAGCATACCGGCCGTCCTCTTGCTGTTTTTAACGCATTTGTAGACATATGTGGTTTGAGTACCAATTCAATACAAAGCAAGAGGAGCAGTACAAACTAAATGGTACTCACACAATGAAGCAAGGTGAACTTCCAAATATCTGCAACCATTATTTACAGAAGATAATAGCTATTTAGACAGCTATGAGCCTCACACATGTACCTTTGAATCGCCAAACAAATACTTCTAGCGCATTTATATATGAACATATAATGGAGCCAACACATCATTTACAACCAACATCCCAGTGAGTTATTTGTTTGGATCACCACTAACTTCGCAGGCAACCTATGATTTGCTCTATAATCAGTTCCGCCTCGGTGACAATCCAAACCTTCACGAGTTGCCTGCAACCAATTACATCCTGAACCGAACAACAACGCACGATATGTCGTCTTTACTGTCTCTTTTCAATGCCTCAGCTGTTAATTGCTTGGCAGCTGCTTGTGGATCCTTGAATCTTTTGGCCACATCAACGACCTCCTGATTGTTCATTACCTAGATGACGCAGAGAACTCATAAGAAAATATCCATGAATATATGTACATACATATCAACTTTCATCTGTGCACTGAACCATTCAGACAAATGCAGAAACAAAAGGTCACACCTTCCAAAGTCCATCGCTCGCAAGGACAAGAAGCTCAGCAGTGTAATCTATATCTTCAACTTTTATATCAGGCTCTGACTTCAATAGTGACTTTAGATTCCTGTCGCCAAAAGCTCTGGAGACAGCCAACTGACCACAGACTCGGGGAACATCTCCTGAATTTTACAGCATCACAATTCAAGCATGAGTTCAACATTCTTTTCTATGAGTCAGTTAAAATAGCGCCCTGACACATATTGTCAATAGGCTTAAAAAAACAATGTTTCATGAAATGCCATAGTTCTGCTTCTGTGGGTATAGCACAATGAGAGTAATGCACACAGTAAACTAACAATGATGACCCAGTTAGGCTGACATTCTGAAGTTACTGGAAGCAGTAGCAAATTCTAACTTTCTTTTTCCTCCCCATGAAGAGCAAGACAACGTGGGTGGTTTCTCCCCAAGGTGGCCAAGGAACTCCATGGCATGAATTGGAAAAAACAAAAATATTATGTTTTGACAAATCTGCAAAGTTCACTTTACTAGTTCAATATTCGCATTTTTCAGTTCTGAAGACAATGCATCGAGCTAATAATGGTAAACTCATGCAAATTTTACGGTACATAAGCTGGATAGATTTTAAACGACTTGCTACTCACTAGTAAGCTAACAATGATGAGTTCATGCGTACTTTTAGGAATGAAAACGGAGCGGATAGTTTCCGTCCGCTCCGGAGAAAAACGAATATGGATACCTTTCGGATCGGATAATTCTCGGATAGTTTGGATACTGATACGAATACGAATATGGTATCGGGGTTTCCGTCGGATACGGATAATAATTCGGATATCCGGTGAACATTGCTATTCGGATATCCGCAGAAGCCATGAGAATACCCCATTTCTTTATAACTCTATGACCTTCAATATACCTTTTCAGATTTTAATAGTAGTTCATCTCCTAACACTAGTCCACACTATTAATAATATTTAAATTTTCAAAATATTTATAAATTATACTGCATTTTATATAAAATGAGCTAATTGTATATGTTGATATTTGTTTCTATTACAAGTTAAGTTGGTTTTCGTGTTATGAGAAAAAAATGTTTCCGTATTTGTGTCCGATCATATTCGATTCTTATTCGTATTTGAGATAATCCATATTTGTTTCCGTATTCGAGCTATCTGTATCCGTTTCCGGCAAAAAAAAAATGAGAACGAATATGGTATGAGCATTATCCGTCTGTATCCGCTCCATTTTCATCCCTACTTACTTTAATAATCCATTATATACTTAAAAATCATTAAACTTCCAAGAAACGCTCCTATGTGCTATGCCACCACATAGTACCCCTATAAATGCTACTAGACCGCCATGTGGCGCTCTATTAAATTCCAGAAATTCTAAGGAAAAAATCATCTGCCCGTCGGCCATTAGATCACCACCAATTAAATTTATCTCTAAAAAACCCCACATTTATCACTATCCACCAATCGCCAAGTCATATTGCTTACGAGGCATCCGACCGTGCACTGTACACCTAATAATTAGCTAACATCCAACGAGCACATGTCATCGAGCACCGAAGATAAAGAACTGCTCCCTCCAAACTGATAATACTTATCATTTTAGACAAAGGTGAAGTCAAACTTTAGAATATTTGATTATGAATCATATTTTAAATATTTGTCTTTCAAATATGGTGACTACATGTATAGATTATTCTTAAAAAGTACTTTAATAAAATCATATATTTGTTAACACTTTTATACATGTTATAATGGGAAATAATGGTCAAAGTTGTTTTTTGAAGACCGTATCCTTGTCCAAAACGACAAGTATTATCAACCCGGAGGGAGTATACTAACTGGGCAACCGTCAACAAATAATAGTTGACTACAAGTAGATTGCGAATACGAGTAATAGTGTTCCTACACTCCTCCAAACACTCCTAAGATTTAGTGCCTAATTGTTTTCAACACCTATGATGTGGCTAGGGAATTGGAAAATAAAACAAAGATGCAAAGATGTACTCGTCCTTCTTAAACGAAGCTACGAGCAAACCCTTTTTCATTATTTAGATTAAACTCTCCTTGATTACAAAGACTTAGCCAGTCAACTTAAATAGACGCACCACTAACAAACTCCTAATTTATCTCAACTCCTAGCTAATCTCCTGTCACATATATAATTTATCTAAACTTAACAAACTTGAAACTAAACCAAACAATTTAACCACTTGTAGACGCTACGGTCTTCTTGCTCCTGCGTTGATACGTTCTGCTGATAAACGCGTTCACAACAACCTATCGTTCATATAATTATGTGAGACACTTCTATTAATTCGAAGAATATTTATTTTTACAAATTAATTTATAATAAATAATTCGTTGGAGTGCACTTACAATCATGTCAATTGGGTGTATGCCATACATCTATCGATTATGCAAAAAAAAAGAAACTTTGAAATCCTTAATTTCACTCAAATTAAAATCAAATAAGATATACTTAAAAAATACAAGTAAATTATGTTGTTTACATGTTAAGATTTCAATTAGTGTTGTACATTTGTCAAGTGATATTTGACACCATTAAAAATGATGTGAAATTATTTGAAAAGTTATTATGACATCACTTATTACATGTCGGCGCCATGTGTCATTATGTATTTAGCACTACAATATATAACCATTGTAAGTGGTCAATAGTTCAGGTAATTAAAGCAATATAAACGTGTACACATGCCCTATGAATACACACACCCTACCTGCCAGTAGAGAAAAGTATGTCCCAAAGAAGGGGGAAACAGTACATACGTACGATTGACTACTATTCGCTAGAAAAAACATACATACATGCGCATAATCAAAAATGTCATATGGAACTACTCCCTCCGTCCCATAATATAAGGGATTTTGACTTTTTACTTGCACTGTTTGACTACTCGTCTTATTCAAAAAATTTGTGCAAATATAAAAAACGAAAGTTGTGCTTAAAGTACTTTGGATAATAAAGTAGTCATAAATAAAATAAATAATAATTCCAAAATTTTTTGAATAAGACGAATGGTCAAACAGTGCCAGCAAAAAAGTCAAAATCCCTTATATTATAGGACGAATGGAGTACATTATAACATTTTTTATTATGTTGTTCTCATGTAAATAATGTTAACAATTGGCACAAATAATTTTGACAATATAGATTATTGTCAAAAGAAAAAAAAAATATAGATTATAGTCATAATACTCCTTTGTAAGTTACCCATGAACATGCATAGGTAAATTAGATGTATAATAAAAGAAAAAAAAAAGCAAAACCCATATTATGTTTGCGAAGGATGGTGATAGGCGAGTTTACATATAACCGAGATTATGATTTACTTTATCAAATTCTATGGTCTATTTCATGGTATAAATATTTCTTTATTTTACGATTATAAGATATTCTATGGTTCTTGATGAGATATGACTTCTTTTAGTATTCTTTTTATAAAGAATAAATAAATTGCCCGCGTATATGCTCGGGGTTCCTTCCTAGTTTGGTATAAAATTCACATTCCACCTGGTTTAAAAACAATTAATGGTGGTTGTGCATGTGCATTCTAGACATCACTAGTATCCTATAGTCACACCAATTTTTTTATCTGAATAATGTTTAACATTGATAACAAAGGCAACAATGAAGAAAAGGTGGACATTAAGTGAATAGAACAATTCTGAAGCACACAGATGTTAGTTCCATGTTAACATAGACAATGCACAATAGCATAATGCCACTATCTACCAATCAAAGCGATACAAGTTCCCAACACATGATTCTAGCTTGTCCTTTTCAAAGAGCTAGAACAGCTGTACAAAATAAACAACAGGTACAAACTAACAAATATAAAAACATAAGAGGCAATCAAAGGCGAGTATCTAAAGAAAGAATATGTTCAGAAACATAAAATGTACAAGTATACAATTGGCACCAAAGAGCATATATTCTGTTGCCTTTTCAAGGTATGGACTTGTTCCGATTTATGTTAAAATGCATGCAAGGTGCTAGAGGATGCTAAGCAGCTGCCTTTTGACAAGAATAAACAGAGGAGGAAACAATGTGAGAAACATTCGGATCTTTTGGCACATTTACTTTTCACGGAAATTATGTATTAGGTGTTTTGATACTTTACAGCAAAGTGGGTCAATTAAATATCAAACAAATAGCATGGTGCAATAAGCATTTCAATCAAAATATCTTGTTTAAAAAATTTGCAGATTTAATGACACACCTGGCATGTTTGAAACAAAGCCACCCCTATTTTCAATAGCACTACGCTCGACATTCGGATCATGGTCAGTCGACATCTGTATTGGCCTACCACCTTTCAAAAGAACAGCTCGCGAATCGCCAACATTTGCGACCCACAACTTCCTGCCATTCAAAAGAATTGCTGTTACAGCAGTGGAGCCACCTTGTCCCAAATCTGGAGTATGTGACAGGATTGCTTGGTCTGTCTTTTCATAAGCTTTTATGATTGCTCTATCTGGTTGTGTCAAAAACTCCTCCTGAGATGAAGATAAACAAATAAAATCAGTGCAAAAGATAGAGAATGAAAAATAAAATATTTTAGGAGAAACAAATGCCAGTACTAACCTCATTCAAAATGTTTGCAAATAAGTTCTTCTGCAAGTATGCAGGAACAGTATCTCCTAGATGGCCATCGAAAATAGCGAAAAGACCAAGTTCGTTTCCTTTCTCTTCTGCAAGTTCCGCGACATGATAGTCCTCCATTGGATGATTCGTCATCCCTCTTACAAGGTAAAACCCATAGCTTACCTTCACTTGGCCTTGAATACCTTTCCCTTTACCAGAGCTGGTTGATGCATGCCCCGAGAACTGTAATAAAGCATAACAGTCAGCACGAGTAAGCCAAAGTGCTAATGTACGACAGATCGCATTTCCTTAGAATTCCAATATATGGTTGCAGGCTTCAACAGTTCATGAATTAAATAGCATCTGAGAATGCTTCCAACTGGAGCTTTGAGCAGGTCAAGTGATGGTCTTTTCTATGCCAAGAGAGTCGATAATTTTCAATAGTTACCACCAGAGTAAATCGGATAGAGGAGTATATCGCTCTGCACAGAGAAAATTCGCGCTTCTACTATACAACTGTTACAGTCAGTCAAATAACTGAAGAAATCGTCAAGAAACGTTCTCAGAGATCAAAGTAAAAGTACACTAGTAATTCATAAGCAACCAAGACACACCATACGATCAAATCCTCATCCTGATAGATATTCTCATATTAATGGTATCCGGGATACACCTACAACAACTGATCAAAAAGTCACTCACCTCGGAGCAACCAGCACCGAAGCAGCAAAACCTCGACATGTCTTCCAAAATCCCCCTCAGCACCAATCCGAGGGCTAAAAACACGAACCAAAACAACGGGAAGAGCGGGGCAAAAAAATTCAGAACCCCCCGCCGCCAGCGAGACCCCTCCCCTGGGGAAACCACCGCGGTCGGCTCTGCTCACGAGGACCGTCCCAAAACCGCGCCTTTTTCATGGAAATCTCGCAACCCTGGAAACAAACGTCCGCATGGAAAATCCCGATTACCGCAGATCCAGCAGACCGGAACCAGGAGCAGAATTCAGCAAACAGAAAGTCAAAACAAAAACAACAAAAAAAAATATTAGACTTTTTTCTCATACCCACGAAACAGATCAACTCACCAGTCGATCCGGCACTCGTAGAGCTCAAAGATTTGCAGGGAAGATGAACCCGAGCAGGAGGAGTGCAAAGGCCAGCGTTGGTGGTTTGAGCGGTCGAGGAAGGAGGAGGAGAAGAAGCTGAGCCTTTCTTTGGTGCTTCGGTTTTTTTTTTCTTTTTCTGTTTGCGCGTTGGACGAAGAAGTCTATGGGAGAGCCTTTCCGAGGGTCAACACTCAACAGGGAGAGCAGCCGGCGTGGCCCCCACACCCCACGTAGCAGACCCGGTCCGTACACCACAGCCTGTGCCGCACGAATCTCGAGGCGGGATCGACGGGTACAACCCCTCCGTGTTGTAGACCCGGTGTGTACAAATGCGACGGGTGTGCAGCGAATGGTCATACTTGACGGGTCCAAGCGAGGAACTGCGACCCATTCACCGACATGTGGGGCCAGGATAGGTCGGGGCCCACGGTGTCGGTGTCTCTCGTGGACTGGAGAAGCGGTGGGGGCGTAGGCCCGCTGCGCGGCAATTAAAGACTTCGGGGGGGGTGCCCCGTTTGACTTGCGCGTCTACGGGCCGAGACGGGTGCTGGGCGGGCTCCGTGCACCGGGTCTATGGACCGGGGAGGCAGGTGGCGTGGAGCGGACGGCCCAGATTGAGCCGCGGGTGTGGAGCCTGGCCGGTGAGATGGACGGCTGCGATGGAGTGTGGGGTTCGTCTCCGGAGACCGGGTCCTGCTTGAGAGAATGGGGGAGTCATGGAGATTTAATTCGGTTGATTGAGGTGACGACTGGAGTGACTAGAAAATTTGAAGGGACGAGCCGCACGATTCTTCACTGTTTACTTCGGCTGTGTTTAGTTTCCCTGCCAAAAATTTTATATAGACACATATTTAAAATATTAAACGTAGACTAATAACAAAATAAATTACAGATTTTACCTATAAACCGTGAGACGAATATATTAAGCATAATTAATCCGTCATTAGCAAATGTTTACTGTAGCATCACATTATCAAATCATGGCGTAATTAGGCTCAAAAGATTCGTCTCGTGATTTACATGCAAACTATGTAATTGTTTTTTCGTCCACATTTAATGCTCCATGCATGTGTCCAAACATTTGATGTGATGGAAAAGTTTGAAGTTTATGAAAAAAATTTGAATCTAAACACCGAAGGAAACAGTGAAGTAGCAGTGACTGACATGTGATGTAGCAGTGACTGATATGTGATGCTACCGTCAGGGTTTACGTTTTCGCGATGGCCTTGCGTTTCGGGTTCTAGCGGAACGACGATTTTCACGAAATTCGATGAAAAGCCAGTAGATTCCGAACAAATTTTATCAACTAAAATTTAAATATAAATTCCCTGAGTTTACCGATAAACTCACGAAAACCGGCCGGCTTTGGCGAAATTCCGAGCGAAATCATTGAAATTTCAATCGGTAACTATAAAAAGAGGTAAACTGAAATTGTTTTCCTTTTTTTAATTCATTATTCTTTTCTTTCCTACTATAAATTTCAGTAAATACACGGAATACATCAATTTTTTTAAAAAATTATATCCCAATAGATTTTATGAATATCATACTATTTATAAGATTTTATTTTTTTTTCCTTTTTTATCAATTCAAATTTAAATTTTGATGAAAGTCATCAAAATCTCTTACGGCTTCTACTTTTGAGCCTCGTCGAAACCTCGAAATTTCGCGGAATTTGACCGGTATTCGTTGGAATTGTGAACCCTGTCTACCGCATCAGCAGTACTGCGGACAATTCCCACTAGGATGAAATAGATCTCTATCTTATTAATCTCTAATTTTGAGTGGCTGACATATAAGTTGTATAGTTTGTGAATATATATCAGTGACCTACGTCAGATGACATTAAGTTAGAGAAGCCTATTTCACAACAGAATAGTAAATTATGCTTGGTCATGCTCGATCATGTTGGGTCGTTTTGGATTAATGATAAAATGTGCACTAGGGTAGTTGAAATAGTATGCGTAGTTTGATTTGATGTCAAATAATTGGTAATATCCGTGTTTTGTTTGGCACAATTCTAAAACTTTCTTCACTTTACTATAAAATATGGCTTGACATTGGTAATAAACCGTGTTTGGCAATGAAATTCTACCTTACCAATAACTTAGTAGTGCTAAAATTTATCAAGAATTCAGCATTACCAAAAATATATATAGGGTAGAGAAGCAAACAGGGTGCATTGTAGAAGTGTTTTATTTTTATTTTTTTTCGATAAGCTATGCGTAATAGCTAAAGATCCACCATAAAGAATAAAAAATGCATTGTCCATCTCTCTCCTCTAGAACTCACTTCTCTCTAAGTTGCTTGCTGTCATAGGAAAATGGGAGGAGGGCACTTGCGAGCTGACTTCATCGGAGTTCCACTCGCGAGCGCCACCTCCCACATCCTGGAAAGTCGAGTTCTGTCCGCGGGTGCCGATGCCACCTCCTCCTCCTCCTCCTTTCGTGGACACTGCTGTTGCTGGTAGATCTAAGCGTTGTGTGTCTCTCGTTCAATAAGGGAGAACCGGCGAAGGGGTTGAACATGTAGAGAAAAGAAAAGAGTATTTGCCTGGTTGGGATGGTAAAAAGTAGGGCCATCTCTTCCATGCTATTGCAAGGTGCAGTGGAGCACCTCAAAAAGTGTTTTGTGAAGTGTAGCAATTTGACTGACCGCGTTGCAGCTGCTGCAACACTGTAGTCGAACACGATCATTACAAAAATAGGTGCTACACCTCAGTGAGGTCTACCTAGGATTAGGGGTGGAACTAAAGTATATGATAGGTGCCAGGAATCCTGTATCTTTGTCACTACTTGTACCTCTTGATACAAAATTAAATAATCACATCAACTTAAACTCAATAAATTAAACAAGTGGTACATCTCCCTATTTAGTTCTAGTTTCGTCTCACATATATAAGCACCGTTGTACTTTCGTGGGAGTAGGTAGTATAGATCAGCACGTGGACGAGCAACTGCACGGAGCCGATCAAGTTCGACAAGGGGCCGTTTAAAGCACGTGCAGCATTTTATCAAGAGAAAGTACAATAACACCTCAAGTACTAACAACTTAAGAATATTGTGTACATTGGCGTCACGTGGAAGAGAAAGAAATTAGAAGTGTGTCTCGTGTAAAAGACAGCATGTACACAAGTTTTAAGAAAGAGAAAAGGATAATCAATAGATTGAGAGAAAATAAATAAAGTAAAATTATTATAGTGTATTAAGGCAAGCGTACGGAAGTTATGCGTTGAATGCGTAATTTTCTAAGTAATGAGTAGATGGTGTGGATAAAAATAAAAATGTCAAACCATCTAATTATTAAACTTGGAGTAAATTCCCTGTGTACCCATAAAAACTCACTCAATCTCTTTCATACCCCTGAAATTTATCTGATCCATTCTATACCTGAAATTTTAACTTGATCTCTTCCATGCCCCTGCCGTTACATTTTCCTTCTTTTCACTGTTACGTTTGGTTGCATATGTTTGTTATGCCCTTGATGATTAATTTATGTTTGAATATAAGCTTGAAAAACGATTAAAATGTTTGTTTGAGTGCACAGCGTGTGCATTTTATGAAACTAATGAGGCTAAATTATTAGAGCATAAAATTTTGAAAATAAAACAAATGTAATAAATTAAAAATTTTGTTTGAAATTTTAATAGGATAATGGATTTTTTTTGGGAGCATTCATAAAAACAATATCGTGAGCATTGGTAATCATATCTTTATATAAATGCTCCTCATTTTTTATGATTTTTTTAAAAATAAAATAAATACGTAATTTTTTATTTCATTATCTAAAAATATTGTCATAAATAATGTATCGCACAGTAAACTAATAACTATAGTAGTCTCATGTGATAAACTTTTACATTTTTAATAATGTAATTCATAAATTTTTTATGTTCATCCAAAGGGTAAAATGGATATTTTTATAGATATTAAATGGTCAGCTGAAGGGAGGGGTATGGAAGGGATCAAAATCAAATTTGGGGTATACAAGGAAGTAAGCAAAACTCATTGGCATGGAAGGGATTAGCTAAAATTTCGGGGGTATACAATGTATTTTCTCTTAAACTTGCCCTAAGAAATAGTCCGATGCATTTTAGATGCTCAAGATTAGTTAGAGCTTGTACAATGATGGTCAATAAGATGGCTTTTTAATCTTATTAATTGATATACTTGTTAAAAAGATTGAGAGAAAAACATTGATGTTAAGCTTATCATCGGCTCTTAGTTCCAATAAATGGAATTTGTACCGCGTGAGTATGAGGAAAAGAAAAAAAAGGCAACAAAAGTATTTTAACGTGTTAACGACGATTAGATTATTGTTGTCTCATCGTCTGTAGATAATGTGTATTGCATACAAGACTATATCGGGTTTTATCTTTAATATATGTCCTTAAGGGTTTGTGAAACTCCACCGCAACTCATATAGGGTTAGATGTTATAATCTACCAAACTATAGATAGAATCCACCGTACCATCAAATATTCAAATCTCTTAAATAATGTTCACTTAAAACACAGCTTAAACAAAAGAGGAAAGAAAGCAAAACCGCTCAAACAAAAGGCAAAAGAAAAAAAAATTGGGAAGAAACCTTATGTCTATCAATCCAAACAGTTATCTATGTACCGGTAGAAGATTCGGCAGCTACTGTAACCCTTGCTTCTTCGGATAGAACCCCCAGCTGAGAAGTTACTCGGAATGCTACCAAGATATCAGTGTCCTTGGTTTCGTACTTCAGGGTGGGGAACTTGCTTTAGGAAAAAAACGTATTAGTAACTTATAGGCCATTGAAAGGTTACAATTTTAAATACGCGATATTAATTAGCGAACGTTTAGTATATGACGATATTTATACTTCTTTTTACATCTAAGATATGAAATTCAGACGGATAAGACAAGCCAAGGCTCTACTGAAAAAATCATCATTACTTTAAGGCCCCCAGTATGTATATGTTTAAGGGCCCCCAACGAACTCTACCAGGGCTGCGTGCAGGCCTTCTGCCTGCACGTGCACTTGGGCTCCTACAAACCGGCAACCACTACTAAAATACGGGCCACTTTCCTTGCTGGGCCAAGAGAAAACTGCCGCTCGCTTCCTCGGATCAATTTTCTCCTCGCTGCGCGCCTGCGTCTGCGTGCGCCAATTTGACGAGCTTTGCGTACGGCGTACTTCGTACCTAGCTGTAACAGATGAGCACCACGTCCCCATCGCGCGGGGAGCGGCGACGCCGACCCCAACCAAAGGCGCGGCCGTATCCGCTCGTGGAAATCTCGCGTTCTCTCCCGCGCGCGGCCGAAGCCGTCGCCGTCGCCGCGGGCGCTGGGACTTTACGCACCACACCACAACCCCCGCGCCCACGCAAAAATGCCCACACGGGACGGGACGGCGACAGCGACGATGCGGCGCCGGCCGGTATAGTGGTAGATGGTGCCTGCCCCCTAAAACTCCAAATTCCTCATCTGGTCATCTCCCCCCCTACAAATAAAAAGGGACGTAACGCCACCAATTCGCCAAGTGCAACTGGGCCGGGGGAAACAAGAAATGCTCCATAACCGGCGTGGAGCACGGTACATTGCAGCTAGTCATCACCCGGGGCCGGGCTTGCACGATCCACGAACAATCGAGATTTGGAGATATCCACTACTGGAGAAACCATCTTTGGTCGGTCGTCCAAAAACCACAATAGTCCCGGTTCGAATAGAAACCGGTCCCGGTTAAAAACTTTTTGATCTAACACCAACCGGGACTAAAGATCATTTTTAATCCCGGTTCAACGAGTTGTCAGGTCGAATGCAGGCTCCAATTATCTTTAGTCCCGGTTGATATAAATAACCGGGACTAAACATGGATCTTTAGTCCCGGTTGTTTATATCAACCGGAACCAAAAACCACCCCGAGCCGCGCGCTAGTCTCCCTCCCACTTCCTCTCTCTCCTCCCCTCATTAAACGAGATATTTAACCATTTGCCATATTTAGATGTGACAATTAACTTTTTGCCATTAGGCCCACATGTCATTGAGATAGGGGTGATAAATAGTTATTTGCCAAATTCTAACAGTGGCAAATAGTTAAAAGCCCCTCATTAAACACAGCCGGCCAACTCACATCTATCCTTATCCTCCTCTCCATCGATCCATTTGATCCTCTCCCCTTCCTCCCCTTCCCCTCTCCTCCCCTCCTCCTCCTCCTCCTCCTCCCAGGTACAAGCACAAGCGGGCAGGCGGCAGCGTGTGAATTTTTTTATATATTTGGTAGGGAATGATTTGTATATTTTGTTGGAGATTTTTCTTGTTGATTTGAGGATGATTTTGTGATTGATTTGTGGATTGTGATGTGTATGATTTGTGGATTGTAGATGTGTATGACTTGTGGATTGTGAATGTGTATGATTTGTGGATGATTTTATTGTTCATAATTTGTGAATGGTTGGGTGGATCTGGGTAGAGAATAGGTACAAGCAGAAAAAACAATAAAAAGTAAAAAATAATCGATGACGTAGCCCTATCCATCTAAAGATGGATTCCCTGTTATTTCACCCGGTACTAAAAGATACCCGGATGCTTTCTCCATCGGTGTATATTGATCCGATAGCTAGGCGGCCGGGGGATGATGCGACGATGCATGCATGGTCTGGGGGACTGAATAGTGCCCGATCCCCTTTAACCCCACACGATACCGATCGATCGAGCCCAAAGCGACTCGCGTATTACGATATAAATTAACTCAATCATCTGCCCATGCCGGGACTGGATTTACTTTTTTATTAGATAATGATATAACTGGATTTACTTGACATATGGTTAACCACAGAGGATCGCAGTGCATTTCTGTTTTCTTTCGTAGAACACCCGATTGAAGTGACTAGTCAGCAGCGGCGATCACAACCCGGGGGAAGGAAAGTAAGCTTGGCATTGACGACCAAACCCTCGGCTACATCATTCTTCAGTTCAGTGGATGAAGTGCTTGGTAGTTTTTTTTTTCCTTTTTTTTTTGGGAAAAAGGGTGAATGGTCGAAAGAAATATATCTATGTGTGACTTATGATGGATCGTTTACCTGTTTTTTGGGATTATTTTCATCATATATATTATTCATGCTACGTTTATAAAACTACGATTTCTCTATAGATTTTCTACATCAATATCATCTAGACCGTTGTTCTAAACTATTTGTTGTTTCTTTTATAAGTATAAATATTTAATTTATTTCTATAAAAATAATTTCATCATCACTGACCTTCATTTGCTATTCATCTGAACAAAAGAAAGCCATGACGTCTTATGAACTGAGTGCAGCGCGGCTGGTTAGGTTTATAGTGGTTAGGCCTACCTAGTACCTACTGGGTTTAAAATGCTAGACTTAGTACGAATACTCGCATTTAAGGATATTTATTCTTTTAGATGATGGTAACCGTACGATGTTTACGATGGCTTTATTAATCTCAAGCTATGTTGATATTCGAAGATGTTATAGGTAAGGTATGCGTGTGTTTTTATGAGGATGATGTGCATGCGTCATATGAGCTCCTGCATGGCTGCATATGTCCCGTGTTATTTTTTAAATTTTTTTTTGGAGAGGATAGAACCCCCCCCCCTCCCTCCTTATGATTGGTTGGTTCTATCCGCATCACGTGTGCACTTAAATGGAAAAAAAAAGGTGCATTTTATCAAGATGAAATGTTATAAATCAGACGCATGAAATAAACATTTACATGGCAAATATTGGCTTGACTAATATATACTCCTTAAAACTACTACTAATAATTTCTTTGATGGGAAATCTAGTAGTAATAATTTAGTGGGGCTAATTGGACAGCAAATTGGTTTGGCTATTGGGGTGCCGTGGGACTTCAATTATGTGCTCATTCTATTTTGGAACAGGATCAGAGAACAGTGCTACTTTCGGAGCATGAGGTGACAGTGTTGTTCTATCGACGTGCCATGTTCATGTGCTTAGGTAGATGGGTTATCCATCATCTACAGAGAGAATATATTCATCATTAGTATTTTGGTTACAAAAGCAGCAGGGCTAAGGTCCCCCTTCTTTTATATGCGTAAAAACTTAAAAATTTCTCTCTGGCACAACTCATCTTTTCCTGTTCATGCGTGCAATGTGTGCCTTGATCAGACCACCAAGCAAATCCAACTCATTACTCCAAGGAAGAAGTATACGTGTACTCCCTCAGTAAAAATAAAAAAACCATTTATGAGTTTGAATTTGGATGTAGGCTATATTGATTCAAACCCAAAAATAGTTTTTAGTTTTTTTAATGGAGAATGTAAGGTTTAGTTGACTATGGGGAGATGAAATGTTCACTAGCAGACAAAAAGATTCAATGATAAAAGATGGTTTTCAATTAATAGTTATTCGAGAATGATATATTTCTATGACAAGGAAAAAGGAAAACAACTATGCAGTTCTTAGGAAATAGAGCTATCTATGCAGTTCTTAGGAAAACGTTGGAGCAAATTATCGGGTAAGGAAATTGATACTTTTATAATAGATAATGCCGTTAATTTTTAGACACATATCTAATCATCCTTTCTATTTAAAAATTTACATAATTATAATTTATTTTATTGTAAGTTATTTTATCATAAAAATACTTTAAGTATGATTAATATCTTATGTATCTATACAATTTTTTTTAAATAAGATAAATAGTCAAATGTGCGTCTAAAAATTCACAATATTGTCTATTAAACCATCAAAAAGGAGTATTTTATAACTTTTTCATCTATATGCAGTCTCTAAGTTTTTATACACCAATTGGGACATTAACAAACATCCCCTGATTTGACACCCCAAAAACTCGCCCGTTCTGTATTACCAATAGACCCTCGAACCATCGATCATGTGAGGACCATTTCTTAGCTTGGAATCTATCGTGCCGAGTGGGTTTTTCTTTTTGTTCGCAAATAAAATATATACACATTGGAAAAAAAAAGAATATTATTTGGGAGAGCAGAAGGGTCACCAGGATAAATGGCCAAGAGCAAAAGTTAGATCAAATCCAGCCAACCAATCGCGATATCCACAACCTCTCTCTCCATTGGACTAGAAACGCCAACTGCAAGAACACCCAACACCAAACAAAGACCGGCCAAAATTTTATACACCGGAAAATACACGGGAAAAGAAAGGAAGAGAAAAAAAAAGGAGGCGCCTTTGCTGCTTTGCAGTTGCAGAGCAGCTCGCGCCGCGCGCGTACACTCGCTTTGCTTTGCTTCTTCGCCGGAAAAAACCCAATCCAATCAAGCGGAGCTCGAGCTCCAATCCAGCTATAGTTGGGAATCTCGAGGGGGGAAGGAGGAAGAAGAAGAAGAAGAAGCAGTGAGCTTTGGAGTTTGAGCTGGCTAGCTCCATGCTTCGGGTGACGTCCTCTTGATCCAAGAACTCGTGGGGGGGTTGGTTCTTGGATTGGATTGGGTGCATATCATGTCGGTGTCGTCGTCGTCCATGGGCGGCGGCGGTGGCGGGGACGCCGGGGGGAGGACGGTGGTGTGGTTCAGGAGGGACCTGAGGGTGGAGGACAACCCGGCGCTGGCGGCGGCGGCGCGCGCCGGCGGGGAGGTGGTGCCGGCGTACGTGTGGGCGCCCGAGGAGGACGGGCCGTACTACCCCGGCCGCGTGTCGCGGTGGTGGCTCAGCCAGAGCCTGAAGCACCTCGACGCCTCGCTGCGGCGGCTCGGCGCCGGCAAGCTGGTGACGAGGAGGTCGGCCGACGCCGTCGTCGCGCTGCTCCAGCTCGTCCGCGACACCGGCGCCACGCGGCTCTTCTTCAACCATCTCTACGGTTTGCTTTTGCTAGCTTTGTGCTTTTTTTATTATTATTTTTATACAAGAAAAGGAGATATGCCTTTTAGATTGTTTCTGGCATCAAAGTCTTCACATGTGGCAAATCTTTCTGTTAGATATGTTGATCGAATCTCATGGCAAGTCCATGCTTTTAGGGGCAATTCTAGCTTGAAGTTATGATTTGATTGGATGACATGATAACAATGCAACTTCTCTGTTTCGCTTGCATCTTCATTACAGTTTTCATCAGATTCGCGTCAAGTTTGAGCTAGATCTACTCCATCATTTTAACAGTATTATGTGGCACTACTTGGATATATTAATATACTACACCTCCATCTCCATGGTCCACATGCCAACTATGTTCCAGTTTAGCTACCATTGTTTTAGAGCAAAACTTCAGAAGTTCCCAGTTTTAGTAATCTGCCTTTACACTTTGATCATTAAGAACATTTCGCCATCTACTAGTACTACCTTTTTATTATTTCTGAAAGCTCTTGCTGCCACCAACCGACTAATTTAAAGAGGCAATAATCATATGAGGAGATCAATGTCGTGTTGGATTTTCCTCTTTGTAGTCTTACCCCCCAACCTATATAAGGTGGGCAGGGAGCCCTTCAAGCTAAGCCACAATCAGATCGTCAGATTAATACAACACCCATATAATCCTTGAAACAGGAGTAGGGTATTACTTCTAATTGAGAAGGCCTAAACCTGTCTAAACCTTTGTCCCTTTACTCATCCACTTTAGGTCTCATGCGCTACCCCATTTCTTGTTGCCGATTTCTAGAATCAACATCAACCAACCAATTTAAAGAGGCAATAATCACATGCCAGCTCCATATTTAGTTAACACTCATTCACTCAACATAAGCACTTGTACGGTTGTACTTTCTAGTATATTGTCTAAAATTCAGTATCTATCAATTGTTCGTGTTGAGACTAGAGGTTTATGCTTTGTAACCTTGACACTCATGACCTCGCATAACTCTATACTCATTGGTCACGGCTGTCTTTTCAGACCCGATCTCACTGGTCAGGGACCACCGGCTGAAGGAGATGATGGCAGCGGAGGGCATCATCGTGCAGTCTTTCAATGCAGACCTGCTGTACGAGCCGTGGGAAGTTGTCGACGACGAAGGCCAATCTTTCACCATGTTTGCGCCTTTCTGGAATAGGTGCCTCAGCATGCCGTATGATCCTGCCGCACCGCTGTTGCCTCCTAAGAGAATCAATTCAGGTACTTGGAGAATTAAATTCAAATGGTTTAGTTTCTACTTATTCAGAAAAAATGTATTGGTTACTGGCATATTAGGCACTGGTATTGTTCTTGCATCAGAGTAAGAACATTTCAACTGTTTGAATGTTCTGCCTTTCTGTTTTTACTTGCTATATATGGGCAAATTTTAGCTATTAATCACTAATACTTTTTTGGTACATAACAATATTTTGTTTCTAACACTGCACTACAAGTTGAAACAGTTCGGTCAATTCACTGATAAATTTTCAACAGGTGACTTATCAATGTGCCCATCAGATGATCTGATCTTTGAGGATGACTCGGAGAGGGGAAGCAATGCACTTCTTGCCCGAGCATGGTCACCAGGCTGGCAGAATGCAGACAAGGCACTGACAGCTTTCCTGAATGGTCCTTTGATCCACTACTCAGTGAATCGCAAGAAAGCAGACAGTGCAAGTACCTCCCTCTTATCACCGTACCTGCATTTCGGTGAGCTGAGTGTGCGCAAGGTCTTCCACCTTGTTCGGATGAAGCAGCTTGTGTGGAGCAATGAGGGCAATCGTGCAGCTGAAGAGAGCTGCACCCTGTTCCTTCGGTCCATTGGTCTCCGGGAGTACTCACGGTATCTGAGTTTCAACCACCCATGCAGCCATGAGAAGCCCCTTTTGGCACACCTCAGGTTCTTCCCCTGGGTGATCAATGAGTGCTACTTCAAGATATGGCGGCAGGGAAGGACTGGTTACCCCCTTGTTGATGCCGGCATGAGGGAGCTATGGGCTACAGGGTGGTTGCATGATCGTATTCGTGTGGTAGTGTCAAGTTTCTTCGTCAAAGTCCTTCAACTACCATGGCGATGGGGGATGAAGTACTTTTGGGACACATTATTAGACGCAGATCTTGAGAGCGATGCACTAGGCTGGCAGTATATCTCTGGCTCTCTTCCTGATGGCCGAGAACTTGACCGCATTGACAATCCTCAGGTAGGTCAAACTATTAATTATTATCTAAAGAAAAAGTCAAACTATTAATTTCAGAAGAAAATGCAATCCAGTGATAACAAAAGTTTCTGAATATTGATGCATTATCTTGTGAATCCAATTGTGCATTGCAGCTCGAAGGCTACAAGTTTGATCCGCATGGTGAGTATGTCCGAAGGTGGCTTCCGGAGCTTGCAAGGTTGCCAACAGAATGGATACACCATCCATGGGATGCACCCGCATCTGTGCTGCAAGCTGCAGGAGTCGAGTTAGGCTCCAACTACCCTCTCCCTATAGTTGGGCTAGATGCAGCCAACGCCAGGCTGCAAGAAGCCCTGTCAGAAATGTGGCAGCTTGAGGCAGCATCCAGGGCCGCAATGGACAATGGAATGGAAGAAGGCCTTGGCGACTCCTCGGAGGTTCCACCAATTGAATTTCCTCGAGAACTACAGATGGAAGTTGACCGAGAACCAGCTCGAGTAACAGCCAATGTGCTGACAACAGCTCGAAGACGCGAGGATCAGATGGTGCCAACAATGACATCTTCACTAAACAGGGCTGAAACTGAGATTTCTGCCGATTTTATGAACAGTGTGGACAGTAGGGCAGAGGTACCAACCCGTGTGAATTTTGAGCCTCGAACTGAGCGGGAAGAAAATTTCCGTACCACTGCGGGAAATGTTGCTAGAACAAATGGTATTCATGAGCACAATAATTTCCAGCAACCTCAGCACCGTATGCGAAATGTTCTAGCACCATCTGTATCAGAGGCATCAAGTGGCTGGACTGGGAGAGAGGGAGGCGTAGTCCCAGTTTGGTCGCCTCCTGCAGCATCAGACCATTCAGAAACTTTTGCCTCTGATGAAGCTGACATTTCTAGTAGGAGTTATTTGGATAGGCATCCACAGTCGCACCGGTTGATGAACTGGAGTCAATTATCCCAGTCATTGTGAGTTCAGATGCACGGTAACTGATTGGTCTCAGTAAGTTGAATTGATGTTGCACTTGCTCACAATTTTGCAACACTTTATCATAGTATGGAAACTTCTCGCATAATACCAATATAGTATCTAAAAAATGTTTGTTTTATGCATGAAGCCACACAAGATTATGAATGGCTGGACAACTTTTGATCTTGTTTTCATTTTTCGTGGCTAGACAACTTGTTTTATCTTGTTTTCTGTATATATGTATTTGTATTTAACTTTTATTTATTTATATATACACGCTGTAGGAGCCTCTCCTACAGTAATTTTCCTAACAAAGAAATATTACAATCATGTATGTAGACCTATAAACAAAAAGGTCATTAGAAATTGAAAGGTAGCTTCTTGGGTATATTGTATGACCATGTAAAAGCCTGAGTCCTATGGAAATTGACATATAAAGGAACGAGGTCTATTTTACCTAAACTTTGACCAAGACATTTCCCCCCTCATTTTATTACCAGAATTACTACCTAACATTTCACATTTATGTCAACTCTCTTCTATCTATTCTCCTCCCTCTATAGATTCTTTTGCGGCGTATAAAAATCTTATTCTATGTTATTCTTGCATGATAACATCCACATCTCATCAGGGATTCACAAGCCTGCAGACACCGCTTCTGTACAAGCCGATTACTTGGCTTTAGTTATATATTATATAGTCCAACTTTTGGTTGTACAAGCCGATTACTTGGCTTTAGTTATATATTATATAGTCCAACTTTTGGTTGCCTTCAACTAACTGTTCACTAAAATATAAGATTGATGTGCCAACATTTCTAACATCATCTAATATTTTATGAATCTTGGATTGCAGGACAACAGGTCGGGAAGTGGAAAATTCCATGCAACCAAATTGGATCGGTTAGGGTTTTCTCCGCCCCAGATTCATATGTAAATTGTCCACCTATGTGCTTATCTATAGTCTGATGAGCATGCAAGCCAGGCAATTTCCTGAGTGTGACAATAGTTGTGTAAATCTAATCCTGTAGAACCTATTCTGTTGTAACAGCATTGTTAGAGTTGGCTGAAAGGGATATGTAATATTGATCAGACAACGAGGGTTTTCCTAGTGTCACGCGTATAGTATTTTTAGGGGGAGTCTTGTCTATACCTGTACATTCCCTTGTGCTATTGGCAATCTATTATCACTACTTTTGTGTTGAAGTACCACTGTTTAGTGTTATCGATCACAATTGTAGATTGACCTGCTACCAAGCGACCTGGCAAAACTGTCAAATTAATACTCTCTTTTTGAATTTTTTGCTTACTCTATTTGACCACTCATCTTATTCAAAAAAAAATTGTGCAAATATAAAAAACGAAAAGTTATGCTTAAATTACTTTGGATAATAAAGTATATCACAAATAAAATAAATAATAATTCTATTTTTTTTAATAAGACGAATGGTTAAACAGTGCAAACAAAAAGTTAAAATCTCTTATATTATGGGACGGAGGGAGTAGATGATAAATATGATATGAGATAATAACTCTTGGAAGCACCAGATGTGTGTACCTACCAGCCAACATAATTCATGAGTAATTGACGCTAAGTTATACTTTTACTTATACATGTTATACATGTGGTATGCAACTTGTCGGCTAATTGGTAAGTGAAGTGCAATTTATCCTTGTAAAGTTAAAAAAAAGATAGCGGGCTTAATACCTTTCAACAGATAGTGAAATGATATATCTTTACTTGTTTTTTTTTCGAGGGGACAAGCAGGGAGCTCCTACGATTTCACTATAGAAAAATAGAGTTGATCCAGATTATAAGGAAAACCGAACCCAGAAACCTTACAATAGCACAGTTATTAAAGAAAAATTGGCGAAAACCCGGCATTGACAAACTGAACAAAAGGACAGTCGTCCAACAAGAAAAAACTCCTAGAACGAATCCTTCAAGAAGGTTATGCCGATAGAACGGCGACAACGTCCGATCCTAACGAATCTAAGATTTTCACCCGGAGAATTTCCTTGAAGTGGAGTTAAAATGAGGGCTCCAAACGCAACGCCTTCAAGAAGGTGAATGGCGTCCGAGGGTGTCGCTGTTGCTAGCACCGGGAGTGGAGCAAGGTTTTCACCTCGGAGACCCTGTCAACCAAAGCATCCTAAACAGAAGCTTCCAAATGCCTCCTGCACACCGAAGGGTACTTGTAGTATATACACCACCTGCACGACGATCGGATTCTGCATCACCCTTGACCCCGACTGAGAACGTGTCGGATATGGACCTAGGAAAGCCCAAACCGGCCGTCCTCCTTTCACCACCATCGCCAGCCGAGACAGCTGTCGGCGCCGAACGCTCCATCCACCACCGGACGCCGTGCCACCACCGGATCCGGGTGCGCCGCCGCCGGATCCGTTCACTCCACCGCCGCCGTCGCCAACCCCGCCGCCCGGCGCAATACACCACTGCCGCCGTCGCCCATTGCCGCCCCACCAGATCTGGCCGGAGCGATGCGGATCTGGCGGTTTACCGCCACCGCTTCCTAGGGAGACTCCCCTGGTCTCCTAAGGACGACGCGAAAGAGGATCCCTGCCACCGCCGACCTTGCGGCTGCACGACTTTGCCGGCGGCCACTCGGGCGGCGGCGAGGTGGAGGAGGGAGGTGGGGGAGAGAAGGGGAGGCCGGGTCGTCGCCTCCCGTGCTGCCCCTAGGGGAGGACGACGTGAGAGTCTATAATCTATTTTGTTGCATGCAAGAACTATCATATCTTTACTTGTTCTTAGGACATTTATCAAGCTGCACGGTGAGTCCATATTTGTAGGTGCTCGGACTCACTATATTGCCCTATAGCTTGATAAATGTTCTAAGAACAAATCAGCTAACAATAGGAAACGAGACATCGATCATTTACTCTCAATACGATAGTCCCATTCCCACCCAGATCCAATGGTGCCCCTGGTATTGTATATAGAATCATCAGGGTGGCTCCTCATTCCAAGTGTTGTCTTATCAATGCGATCATGGAAATCTTTCATATTCATCATCATCGTCACTGACCTCGCTGGCACTTTGGTCCCTTGCATCTTCTTCACCATCTGTTAGCTCCTCAACATTTTCATCGCCATACATGACATCACCAACAATTTTGCTTCCACTCTGTTCAACAATGGTAGGATAGCCATCGCCATGACAACAAGCGATGAACTCCTCGGTTGCAGCCCTATTCTCTTCATTGCCCATGACTTGAGTGATGGGGAAGAGCTTTTCCATGGAAATCGTGATACCTTTGATTTGTCGTGCGAATAGGATCGTTGGGAGGAAGTGTGAGGCGGCGCCTGTCTGCTTTATCCAATTCCTCGCCTTTTCGCTGCACTGCTACCTGGCCATGTTTCGAGATCCATAGGGAAATCTATGAGAAAATAGCACAAGATCTGGGTAAATCTTTGCATCCAGTTCAAGTGACATCATTCAGGATTGAAATTACCATTTATGTCTGAAATCGTTTTTCTCTTTTGCTTGGAAGTCTCATGTGATTAATTTTTTTAAAAAAAATCCATAGTTACCCTAAAAATATCAACATGACAAGAACTAATAGTAGTAATAGTAGTAATAATAGTAGTAGTAGAAGTAGTAGTAGTATAATAATAATACTAACTAAATTTGTCAGAATCCATGTCGCAAACTTTAGCAACAGAACAAGGGAACAAACCGGGAAACATGACGAACAGGAGGGTTAAGCGTAAACCGGGAAACTAGTCGCACAAGTGTCAGTAGCCACCTGCAAGGCGGACCAGAAGCCATGGTTGTGGAGGATATGAGAGATCGCGGAGATGGCGCGACGTCTGGGCGTCGGAGGAGGCGAAGATCAGTATCGCTCGCGGCGGCGGCGGATGGGTTCGTGAAGTGTTAGCTTGCTAAGCCCAAAGTTATATACAAAGACCGAGCCAGCCCAAGCCCACTACGCAATTTGTGGCCCGTCAGGTTGTCACGCTGCACGATTAGTCCGAGCACTAACAGAGAGTGGTTGTTTGTTGGGATCTGAAATTCAGTTTCGGGGGGCATGAGGACAAATGAAATAGAACTGATTCAGTTGGAACCCTCCGCTCCTTTGTTTATATTATCCTTTACCCTTTAGCTATTAAAATGATATTCTTTCAAATACTCTTATAGGCTGTGTTCTTACCCTAAGTTTTCCAACTCATCTCCCTCGTTTTCCACGCACACGTTTTTCAAACTGCTAAACGGTGTGTTTTTTTTTTGTAAAAAGTTTCTATACGAAAATTACTTAAAAAATTATATTGATCCTTTTTTGAAAAAAAAGGTAATACTTAATTAATCACACATTAATGGACCGTTCCATTTTCCGTGCGCACTGTTTTGGTTGGGAACATGCTCCAGCGGCACTGTTCCTGTTGGGAACATGCTCCAGTGAACACAACTATAGTCCTATGTGTACTTTAGTACTAATGTTATTCGGTTTTCATCCATTGGACATTTTGGTAGGGCGCCTGTCGGAGTGTCAAGAAGTTACTCAAATGATACTTTTACAATTACTCACATGTGTTAAGTAATTTTTCGCGAATGTGCAAATGATTGTACATCAATATATTAGAAGGAAAAGAGTTTTTGTTACACAATGCAATCGGCCAGACAAGCCTATGCTAAGGAGGGAAGAAAACGGAAAAAACAAGAGTTGCAGCTAGGTAAAAGAAAGTTAAACTACTTTGAACAAAAGCTACTCCAAACTTCGAGAGCATGGAGGCGGAGCCACACTACACTTCCAAAGAATCTCCAAAAGTAGCAATGTCGGCGAAAGACTACAGACGAACCTCCGAGAGGATGGACTCCAGAACCACGGAGACCGAGGAGAGTGACTGTCACGCCCTGAAGTTTCCCCCTTTTCCTTGCTTTAAAATTTTGTTAAATAAATCGTCTGGAGAAATTGTTCTAATTAAGCTAGAGCTAATTCCTTAATTAATAAATGCAATTAATAATTGAAATTGGCTGGGATTTTTCTTGAGTTCCACATGTCACAATATATTAACAGGATTTTTAGTGGAATTTTCAGAGCCTTGGAGATAATTTTAACCAATTAAAAATCACCAAAGTGCAATTTTAAATCCTAGGGAAAATCCTTTCTTCTTTTTCTTTTTCTTTTTCCTCCGTTTTCCCTCTTCTTGGGCCGTCGGCCCAGTCCACCCCGCCGCCCGCGCGCGCCCATCTCCTTCTTGGGCCGGCCCGCGCCCCCTCCTCCTCCCTTCGGGACGCCGACAGGTGGGCCCCACCTGTCGGGTCGTCCCCAACCTCCAGCCATGCCCCCAAGTCGGCAACCGCAGCTGACGCCCTACCTCTTCCGCTCCTCCCGCGCCCACGCCGCGCCGTTCCCGCGTCCTCCCCACGTCGCCGCCCTCTTCCCGCGTCTCCCGCCCTGCGCGCGCGCACGAATTGGGCGGGATTCGATTTCGAATCCCACCCCACTCTCTCTCCACCCCACGTCGCCGACGAAATCGGAGGCTTCCCCGGCCACGTCCGCCTCCCCCTCCACCTATAAATTGCTCCCCCGAGCTTCCTCTTCCCCTTTCCGCTCTCGCCGCCCTCTCCCGTGCCTCCTACCGCGCTCGCGCCGCTCGCCGCACGCACCGCCGCTTGCCGCCGCCTCCGGCCGCACGCCGCCCTTGCTAGAGCCGTCGCCTCGCCGCGCAATCACCGCCGCGAGAGCTACCTCGGCCGCCGCTTGCTTTCCACGCGCCGCCGCCGTACCGCTCTCCCCACGCCACACCCGAGCTCCGCCACCGCCGCCCATCTCCGGTTGCGCGTCGTCGCCGCTAGGGCCGCCGCCGCAAGAGCTTTCCCGGCCACCGCCTCGCGTCGCCGGAACCCCACCGGAACCCTATCTCCCTCGCGCGCCGGTGAGTTTGTCCCTCCCCTCCGCCTCCGGCCGTCAATGGTGTCCGCCGTTGTCGTTTCCTCTACTCCTAACCCCTCTCCTCCCCTTCTCTAGGTGTCGCCGCCGCCCGTCCGCGCCTCGGCATCGCCGGTCGTCGCCGCCACCCTTGTTTTCCGCACCGGTCGCCGCCGCCCCTCTGGTGAGGACTCCCTCCCCCTCCCTTTTCTCCCCTTCCCGCGTGCGCCGCCGCCTTTGGCCGTGCCGCTGCTCCGGCCATCCGCCGCCGCCTTTCGCGCCCTCCGCCGCCGCCTCCCTCCGCCGGTCGCCGCCGT